ATGGCAGCCTATATTCCAATATTATTCTTCATGTAAAACTACCTCCAATGTACGGTAAGCAATTACTTCTAATATTTTATGTTAACGCTTAATATTTAACTTTTATAAAAATATCTGATTAAGATAATCAAATTCCAATTAAATTTATTCTCGTGAATTCAATGAAACGCACCTTTTGAGGTTAGTATTGTAATTAATCATAAATAGTTGAAAAATATTTTGTAATAAATATTAAGTATATAAAGAATAATAGCAACAGCTGTAAATACCTACATGTAATGTTAGTATATCGTTAGTAATGTCATTGTTCTGACTTTATACTAAAGATTAACAGAATTTACAGTTAATTCGCTTTATATATATACGAATTATTATTTTTATTATTTTATGTTAAAAATACTTTCGATACAAAACATGAGTATGTAGTCATCTAATAATCATCTCCGTACTAATACTTATTACTAATTACTGCATTATTTGTCCCTAACCAATCATATGAAACATCCTTTATCTTCTATCTTGTGAATATTTAAACTCACATTAGATAAATAAAATGTATTGTATTATTTCTAATATTCGTATTGGTTTATACTTTATATCAACATTCCAATTCTATATTATCACTAATATAAATTAAAAACAAAGTTTGTAAAAATAGGAATAAATTAAACGAAGGCACAAACGGTATTTCAAATTAATTAAATATTGATCATTAGAAACAAACAACTGCATAACGATGCTAATGAAAATCAGATAATCAATGACATAAATCGAGAGGATAAGAATTTGGTATTAATATTATAGAAAATAATTGAATAAATTTAATATTTATTTAATCTTAAAGCATATATATATATATATATATATATATATTCATTTCGAAATTCTAAAAATTGAACTACATTGAAATATATTTGCAAATTTTAAATATACAATACACTAAGGTTATCATTTAAAAATATTAATGAAGTTTTTTTTTGAAAATTTTATTTTTATAAATACCTTAAACATAATTGATTAATTAAATGAAACGTTAATCATGTAATCAAATAGTTAAAATACTAAATATTTATTTTCATTATTTATTCTCAATCCAATTATATGAAAATAAAAAAAATTATTTGTGTATTTTTAACTTTATTTTTCTTTGGGAAAGATAGTTTATTGTAAATTATCATTGTGTACATAGATTTTCATCGTATTCTTCTATATTATTATTTCAAATTACATACATTTTAATATCCATTTTTTTTTGTGAAGTATACTTGTCGTTAGTTAATAGATTGAGATTAATCACAAAATGATTTATCTAAATTTAAAATAAATTTTTAAGGTAGTTGTTGTTTGTTATATTTTTTTATAATTAAACAATAATGTATAAAATCAATTTATTATCTGAAATAAGTAATTTAAATATTAATTTAGTAAAATCTGTTATTTACATTACTTTTTAATTACGAGAAAGTATCATTATAAATACAAACGAAATTAATTGACGAATACAATATACTTTATAGAAAATTGTTGACGGTTTATTTAATTAATCGATGCTTAATTAAATGTCATTTGTGCAGTGCAGATAAGTCGTACTGATAAAGTATTACCAAGTCTTTTACAAATAAATTGATTTTTTCATGAAGTATAAATTTGTAGTGTCACAAAATATTTATTTCCTCATATGTGATTAATGTATTGTATTATATTACTATATACCTTCGATAATATAATATAAGATAAAATATAAATAATTTATGCAAAAATATGAAAGCATTAATTATACAATAACATTGTTTTTAAATAATATAAAGGTCGGATTAATTACAGTAGTTTAATTGAAATATAACGGACACAATAATCAACAAGCGAGTCATTAAAAGAGAAATTGAAGAAAATGAAGACAAAATTGATCAACGTAATTTTTATACACATTACTTAGACTATTTATATATACTATTAAATATTAATTCTTATTTAATGTAATTTGCAATATTTCTTGTTCAAGTTTATATCTACAATTTCACTGTAAGTATTACCGTTTTTTTTTTTTAATTCATATTTTATATATTAAATTCATATCATATTTAACAAATTTTAATTCATATTTTATAAATATAAAGATATAATTAAATATATTTAATTAAAAGGCGGTACATGCATTTAAAATTAATGGCCAATAATGGTATCGTAACATCACCGGACTTACTAATTTTGTAAAAAAAAATCAGTGATCTCTGAAGCTATCTAAAATATAAATAATAGTAACCTTATAAGTATTTCTTATCTAGATTCATTATATTAAAAATGTGCAGTACCAATATTTTAAGCCTATAGGATATTAATTTTGATAATTCTTTGAATGCTTTATAAATTCAAGAGAGATAAGAACTGTTATTTGTAATTAACTTATTATAAATACATTGGTTAAGTCACTGAAAATAAATTATTTCATCATTGTCATAACTGAGGGAGAGAGAGAGAGAGAGAGAGAGAGAGAGAGAGAGAGAGAGAGTATAAATTTTGTTTAGACTATTAGAAGTTAGAGCAACTATGGACACCTGTACTTACTAACATTCATCAAAATTATCTGCTTTTTAACAGACCGTTCAAGCACTTAAGCACAATAATGTTGCATCATATTTACATCTATCAATTAATATTCAACATTTATATAATATACAGTTTTATTTCATTAATTTAATGATTAGCTTTATGTCAAATGCGATCCGACTTTATTTGCGATTACAGTAACTTTCCTATCGATCGTGTAACTCGATATCCATATCTGACGATGCAACGATACGATAATAAATTTTCTAATAAGTCAAGAAATCGACATATTATGCTTGAGTAACTGAGTGCGATACAAAAAATTCCAATCAAATTTCAATTGAAACTTTAATCATATTTATTACACAAAGGTGCCGTAATGTTTAGTAATACTTTAAAGTTATGCAAAAAATAAATTTTATATAATGGATATTAAAAAAAAAAAAAAATGAAAATGGCCCAATATTAAAGTTTTAATTCTAATTTTTCTAATTAATGTGCTATAATTCTTTAAATGGAGAGATACCAAGCAAATATGTTAGAAAAATTACAAATTTAAAATCAAAAATTTTTTTTTGATTGGCAACTAAAAGTCAAATTGATTAATGTTATATTACTAATATAATAATTATAGTGCTTTTTTCCAAATAAGCTTTCAAATACTTTTTTTGTGTACGAATAGTAATTATATTACAGTAATGCTAATATGTGAGACATTTAATTATAAAAATGTGTGATACATATTTGATTTGTTTACAATAGTTTTGAAACAAATCAAACACTGTAGTGTTTAATATACATACTAATAAAAGAATGAAATATTAATTTAATACGAGATTATAAGTTCTCATTAATAATGATATTAAAAAATTTTTTTTACCTCATATCGATAGAAAAAAAAATTGTTTATTATGTGACTGTTAAATATTTATCTCATTTTTTAAATTTTTGATAAAAAACGATGCGTTTTATGAATAAATTGTAAGATTATACATAAAGTTAAAAAATTAAGAAACTCTGATTATTTGGTAAATTTTAATACAAGCTGTTTGTAAATAAATAATATAATAAATAACAGTTAATTGAAAATAATTTTTCACTATGACTATTTTTGCCAGTTTTGCGTGTAATAATATTTAATAAATAAAATATAAATTTAAAGTACTCGAAAGAGTTCTAAATTAGAAAAACGAGGGATTTTATAAAAAAGTAAAATTAAAAGATGAAATATATTCCCTAGCGACTAAAACATATTTTATATATTTGCAGTTAAAGCATGAAAAATTGATAAAAAAATAATAACCTCAAATAAAAACCAAATAATCTATACCATACTATTCCATTTTATTTATAATTACATCTATTCAATATATTTAATCTATTTAATATATAATAAATTAAAACCAGACAGTTTTTGTTTCTTAAATTTTAGTACAAAATAAGGTTCTTTTTTTTTTTTTTTGCAATACCTATTAAATATGTAGGAAATATAAAAAGCGCAGAAGTTATGTTTATTGTATTTACTTTGAATATATTATAAATTCATACATAGGCATGACATGTATGTGCTATTATTTTTGTTTAATATATCAACGTATTAAATGTATCGAATGCTTTATTGGAATAATTATGAATGGATAATGATAGAATAATGAAAAAATATAAAAAATTTGAAATTGAAATTTTTATAAAAATAAAATCGTACTTTCTAAGGTAAATAGAATTTTGTAAATCTATATGCATATACATATATATAACGCGCGCGCGCACACACACACACACACGCACGCACGCATATATATATATATATATATATATATATATATATATATATATTAAATAAGGTAAAACAAAAAGTAAAAGTATACATTGAGTAAATTAAAAAGTAAAGGATTACCTATTTTAATTATCATAATCAAATTTTAATTCTCAAAAAAAAAAAAAATATAAATGCAGCTGTTAATACAAAACCTTAATTTTTGTATTTTATATTGAGGTTTTTGTGTATATAATAGCCGATAATAATACTTTTATCTTTAAAAAGTAAGTAATAGAATTGCGAAATATTATAAGAGCATTCAATATATATAGTAGATCAGATAAACCGAATAAAAATAATATTATGTTGCAAAGATATTTTAAGTACGGATAGAAATAATTTAAATTGAGGTTATTGCTGTTTTTTTTTTTTAAGAATATTGATTCGATTTATAAGTGCAAGTTTATATTTAATTTAAAATTTAAATCGAAATTATTGAAAAATCATTACTATCGATATATGCATTGAAGAGATAGAAAATTACTTCAATGTTATCGAAAAATCGTTTTGAATGTTTAAAAAATTGCTCAAAAGGCTTAATATATTTAATATTGTCATTTTTCTTTTGTTTTTTTTTATAAGGAATAAAGTCAAATTGCTAAGACCGCTATAGTATACGATCAGTTTGAAAATTATTAAATAATGACTTTACATTGACACTTACATTTTCAGTATGCAATATAAAAAAACACTGTTATTACTTTTGCGATATATTCTAATTTGTAAGTAAAGATAAACAAAGAAATATTTACAATATTGTTTGAATTTCTAATTAATGAACGTTGCCATGTAATTTCAATAAATTTTTGATCGTTTAGATAAACAATGCAATTTTTTACTTGTAAATGGCTTGATTGGTGCAAATGTTCGAGAAGCCGAAATTAATGAATTCTCCTCGGCTGTGGCCATTGTCAAGATTGTGCCAGATAACAGTTGGCCAGAAAATAATTTTAAATGTTCGGCAACGCTCATTAGTTATAGGGACGTTTTAACGTGTGCGCATTGCGTTGAAAACGAGGAAGTTGATCAAGTTAAGGTACTCGTCGGTATGAATAATTTAAGGGACGGTATAGAACATCTTCCATTGTGGTGGGTAACTTACGATGAATGGGCTGAACAAAACGGTGTCGCCTCTTTATTCCCAGTCAATGACTTGTGTATTATACGGGTAAGTAATCATTAAATACTTGCATTTGGAGTTAAAAGTAATCAAGGCCCACGCTTACGTTATTCACAATAGCAATTATAATTTGTACATATCGCTACTCTCTGCCTAAGCTTCAATATAAAATACGCACTAGCGCTGTATTAATAAATCGATGAAAAATGATTTAAAGCTAGCAAGGAACGTAAGCATAAATCATGCTACACCATCGAGAATAGTAAGAATTTCGAGGGACAGATTGCAGGGAAGACGAGTCCATTTGGCCACATGGGGTACAGTAATGACAGGTCGAATTCCCAGGATGATGCAAACGGTTTCCTTGAATATCTATTCTAATCAAGAATGTTCTAACAGATATACTAACATTACGCATGAATTATATAGATTACCTCTTAACTATTTGTGTACCGCTGCGACTCCATTTGCATTAATAAGTCCAGTAAATGACATTACTTTTACTTTAATGTATTTAACGAAATGTCGAATTGATTTAGAGTAGAACTTGATGCGTGGTTCGTCATTTAATAAAAAATAACTGACTATTCGATTAAATTGAATTTTCAATGTGCGAAACACTTGTGACAGAAATGACGAATCGTTTGTAAATCGTACTAAAATGGTAAATTAATTTTGCTCTTAATTAAAAGGTTCGTACATTCTTAAATTATAGGCTTACTTTTAACTGTGCCGAAGGTCTTGAATTGAATAACATAAATATTGGCAGAAAACAATAATTCACTAGAAATTATACATTTTAATAATATCGTGATAATCTTAATAAATAGGGTAATATAAAAAATATAAAAATTAATAAATTACATAATCCTCGAACAATTGATAATTAATTCATAAAATATTAAGAAATTAAGGATTATATAGTATTAAGATTTGCAATTTTACAAATATTAATCGTAAATATAATATCGCCGGGCAATTTATTCCGTATAAAACTTAAAAAAAAAAAACATATGCTCCTGCACGATTGTACAATTATTTATAAATAATTTTCTTTTTTAGGGTGACAGTGGCGGCGGACTTTATTTAGATAGAAATACTATAATTGCAGTGACAAAATCAGTGTCTCCAAGTTTCAACTTCTATCATCAATTATCAGTGAATACACATACATTTTTGTATTTTTATCGAGATTTCATCCGATTGATTGTACAACATTCTATTTAAATTACTAATATTACGATAGAATAGAGAGAGAGAGAGAGAGAGAGAGAGAGAGAGAAAACATACATTTAAAATATTAGAAATAGTAATTATAGCATGAATTCGGTGTATAACGCGATTTCTAAAGTCGTAAGCATCAATTAAAAATATCAATTATGTTAATTAATTTTACCATAATAATACGATATTTTCATAAATACAGTTAATAAAATTTTATAGAACAAAGATGTTTTATGTGGTTTGAAATTTTTTCATTTTACAAGATATTTTACTTGACGAACAAATTTATAATACTCGTGTTAGTTAATACTTTTAATTTTTTTTTTATTTAGCTTCTCAAATATACATCTACAAAGTATATTATTAATTTTAAACTTATAAATAGATAAATAATCTTGTATTTTTAGTTCTATTGATTTAAATGTTAAAAGTTTGAAATTAAAAGCGTCGAAAGTGTTCATCGAGAAACTTTTTTAATTACAAATATTATTCTAAAACTTGAGCAGAAAATTATTTAATTCAAAATTGAAAATGAAAAACATAATAACAAATTTTGTTCTATTTATAATTGTTCTTAATTACAAATATTTTTTTGAAAAAAGGCATTTTAAATCCAAAACTCGATACGAGTAAATTCGTAGCATAAAGGCAAATCTTTTAATTTTGTATAAATATTAATTTTAATATAACATTAATCGGTCAATCTATTCGAGTCGGAAAAATCATTAAAAAAAAAAATCGTCGCTCCTTCCTATCAATTTCCAACACAATTTAACATATCATAAGCTTTTCATTAATATATTTTATTGTTTTTTTTTTATTTATATATTTATTATTTTTTTTTCTTTTTATATAACCCTTTCTGTATAAATATATTTCATATTATATCAGAGCATAATATATCAGATGCTTGAACGAACAAAATGCATTGCACGAATTGCCGCAATTATAATTTTCGTCAGTTGTCGGCGAAAAGTAAGCGTTAGTCGACGAGAAGATAATGAGTCCATCAACTGCGTAATATTTTCAGTTAACGTGGTCTGCCCTATCAAATGAGCATATTGAAGTATGTCGTTTCTTTATTTATGCTCGGCAACGGATTTCATAAAGCTAAATAGCAAAGGCAGCATTGAATAACCGAAGAAAGCGATTATAGTTAATTTCTCGCTCAATATTAAACGTCGCTATCTTATTTTAAATACAATTCATAAATAACGAGATTTTCATTAATACGAAATTGACAATAATTCCTAATTGATTCGATATTTATGCAGCATTGCAGTAAGCTTATGTAAAATATTTTAATAATACTTTGCCGATTGAATCAGTGATGTAAAGTGCTTTAAATTAAAAAAAAAAAAAAAAAAAAAAAAAAAAAAAAAACATAATCTTTCTACTTCTAATGGATCAAAAATGAATTCAAATAAATCTAAAAATAAATTGATTAATTTTTACTTCAAATTACAAGTTTTGCCTATTGTTTAATTGCCTAAACAAATCTTTTATTCAAGATCTTAATCACTCACTGGATAATCAATCAATGCAATCTTATTTATCGAATTTCAATTGATCGGCATAAAAGTGTAATACTTGTATTTTATATATTATGCAACGAAAGCACGACAAAATTAATATGCAATTTATGACAATAAAATAAATATCATTAAGCGAATAAATTGCTAAGACAAATAGAATTACGTTAAATAAAGAAGTTATTCCCATTTGATGTTGAAAGATCTTTTTCTGCTTTTATTCTCAATATTCAAGTATAGAAAGTACGCTACGCTTGTGCGCTTATGCAATATTTGATTGATCAAGTACTTATTTAATTAAAATTAAAATAGCATTAAATATTTCGAATGACCGACATCACAATTAACGTTAATACAAAAGCTAAACACTAACGTTAGTTAATTTTTTTCTATATTTTTTCTATATTTTTTCTACATTTTTTCTACATTTTTTCTATATTATTCTATACTTGATGCTAAAGACTACCTAATGTATAATCATTAATATCATTAAGGAATGTAAAATAAGATGTAAATTTGTTAATAATTAATTATTCGCTTCGCTAAATTCTCTTTCACAGGATTTAACTAAATTATCGAGTTATATCAATCATAATATAGTGAACAATTATTTGATGGAATTAATTTTTTCGAATTGTATAAATTAAAGGATGACGCAGTTTTTCATCGAATGTATTTGCGGATTGGTGTAAGGTATTTTTTATTTCCCAATGGTATAATACCATAGAAAGCATCAAATTACCAATTTTATGGCATAACAAATGCAATAGATATGGTGAATCCCTATAATAAATTAGATACATACAATATTATTAAATGGAATAATGAAATATTTAAAAGTAAAAGGGAAAAAGTAGAGAAAGGATTGATAATGGAATTATAAAAGAAAGTTTGAGATTCTCGCCACTGTTCGCTCGTATAAGCAATTATTACAATAGCCTATAAATCAATTACACGTATGTAACATACTTATAAGATTTTCAAATTTATACTAAAATTGTCTTTTCAATTGTATTTATGTTTGCAGAGGCCGGGGAGGAGGACGAGGACGAGTCTACGTAACGCGGATATAAATATAAACAATTAAACATAATGTTTAACGATGGCTCGGTTGTTATTATAAACACTTTATATCATTTAATTAGGCTTTGAAAATAATTTGCATTAAAGAAAATACGGGAGGTGTATTTAAAAAATAACGATGACTGTTATTGGTCTTAAACAATGAATAATTTAGTTCTTCAATTTGTCATTAAAAAAATTATCTTACAATAAAAGTGAGAAATATCATTTTTAATACTAATGATTGAACGATTGATTTTTCGGACATTTAGCATAGAATGTAAGTAGGATGAAATAATGTTTATTTTGCGCGAACAAACTACTTTATTTTTACGTTCGAGTCATTATTTTTGCCAATTAAATGGCTTTTTTTTTTTTAATCTTTATGTATATATATATATATTTTTTTTTTTCATTTATGCTATGTATATCCAATTGTTTTACATCTTAAAGACTTTTCTATTTGTAATGGCCTTGTGTTGCTCTTCTCTATTACAATGTAAGCATATAATATATGCAAATGATTTGCTTTACTGCCTGTATTAAAAAATTTATTAATCTATTAAAATACTTATATCATATTACGAAGGAAGTAGGTTGAACTTTGTTATGGAATATTATTCACATGTTGTAAATTATTGGATAAAAATGTCTTTGTATCCTCCAAATACTAAAGATAATATAAAATCTTGTAATAGAATATTAAATCATTTATTTATTTCGTGTATTGCTTTGAAAGATTTTCGTTGAAGCTTAACATTCATTATTTGAAACTAATATTTCTCAAATCCATGAATTTTTAATGCACAATGTGCGTTTTAAGACCATAAGATGAGATAATCATTTTACCAATGCCTCTCTATACTAAAAATGATTTCTCAATATTTTACTGCCAAACACACGTATTAATGTTTTTAACGTGCTTTTGGAGTGTTTATTATTATTATTATTATTATTATTATTATTATTATTATTATTATTAATATCATCATAATTTAAAAAAATATATTTCTTACCAAAATGTATTCAAATGTAATCTGATGATGCTTTACCGTCATGACACAGTCGTCGATCCAAACGCCTAAACATTTCAAGCTAAAATACATATTTAAAGTTCAATGGATTAAATATACATCCAGAGTGGTTAGATCCGCCCAAAAGAAATATAAAACTCGGCTCTTTCATTGCCGACACGACGAAGAGCAAAATCCATCGAGGTACCACCCACCCAGTCGGGAAATTGTATCAAGCAATAGGCGATGGCTGGTCCCCCCCCCCCCCCCCCCCCCGCCCCCGCCACCACCCGTTCAAAAGTCCTAAGCCTTTTCAAATTACCGGATCAACGACGGTAAAGGTGGAGTACCAACGCACGTTTGAAATATAACGTGCATATAGGCCGAGGTCGGTCCTTACGTACTCAGGTAGATAGTCGAATCGATAGTCGAATAAGTACGCGCGGCAATGCAGGTTAATACACTAATACACGCGGGGTGGGGGGGGGGCGAACAGTTTGCCTTAGGCAAGATAATCATGGAAAGCCGGAGGCGCGCTATATCAGCCTGTTACGGACATTTCCATAAAAGTTCCGCAAACCACGCCTTTAATTAATCTATAAGTACAGTACCGCTCCACAGGAGTCTCTCGCAAAAGGCTATTATTTAAGCGATCGAGGCCTTCCCTTATTCCGGATGAAATTGGGCGTGCGAACGTCGCGAACTGGCACGATAAATGTGCCCCAATCATTATCCCAACCAATTAGCTTTTGGACCCGTTGATGAACCGGCGCGATAACCGAATCAATCGCTCCGTGCGTCCCCTAGGTTTACGGACTTAACCGAACGCACACTCAAGCTCTGCAGCTATCCTTATTCAGCCGCTCGTGACATTCATAACCATCGCCAAGGCAAGGGCGTGATTGGGTGGGCTAGTTAACGGAGCTCGAGCGAGGGGAACGCGAACGATGTTTCTTCCCAAGGCATTGCCAAGTCGTTTACGATGCCACCGAAGGATCGCTTTAGCATGCTTTATTTGTATTTTGGCGAAGAGAATAGCCAGTGAGGCAAGAGTGCTCAAATCTCGCGTTCGCCGCACGCGAGTTCCCGCGGCTGCTGGCGAGCGCCACCCGACGGCCGTGTTCGCAAGCTACCCGCTCAACCGAAGTTGTGTGTGGTGTGGTGAGGTGAGGTGTGGTGAGGTGAGGTGAGGTGAGGTGAGGTGAGGTGAGGTGAGGTGAGGTGAGGTGAGGTGAGGTGAGGTGAGGTGAGGTGAGGTGAGGTGAGGTGAGGTGAGGTGAGGTGAGGTGAGGTGAGGTGAGGTGAGGTGAGGTGAGGTGAGGTGAGGTGAGGTGAGGTGAGGTGAGGTGAGGTGAGGTGAGGTGAGGTGAGGTGAGGTGAGGTGAGGTGAGGTGAGGTGAGGTGAGGTGAGGTGAGGTGAGGTGAGGTGAGGTGAGGTGAGGTGAGGTGAGGTGAGGTGAGGTGAGGTGAGGTGAGGTGAGGTGAGGTGAGGTGAGGTGAGGTGAGGTGAGGTGAGGTGAGGTGAGGTGAGGTGAGGTGAGGTGAGGTGAGGTGAGGTGAGGTGAGGTGAGGTGAGGTGAGGTGAGGTGAGGTGAGGTGAGGTGAGGTGAGGTGAGGTGAGGTGAGGTGAGGTGAGGTGAGGTGAGGTGAGGTGAGGTGAGGTGAGGTGAGGTGAGGTGAGGTGAGGTGAGGTGAGGTGAGGTGAGGTGAGGTGAGGTGAGGTGAGGTGAGGTGAGGTGAGGTGAGGTGAGATGCGGTGAGGCGAGGGTGGTGTGTGCCCTTTTAAAGGATCTTCACATGCTCACCGACCGCCGTCTACACTCGGTCACGTCTACGGTGCGGATGAGGCGCACGCGCAAACAAAAAACTCGCCACCGTGTCCTCCGGACGGGTTGACCCAACTGACCAACGCATCTCGAGCGCTTCGCGATCTCGTACGCGCTTTATGGGGTTGCTTTCTCTCTCTCTCTCTCTCTCTCTCTCTCTCTCTCTCTCTCTCTCTCTCTCCCTTTGCTCCCTCACTCTCTCTCCCTCACACACACACACACACACACACACACGCGCACACACACGCACACACACTCGTTCTCTATATCTGCCTCTTCTTCTCTTTTGGTCTCTCCGGCGCTCCTGCATCATCCGTCATTGGACTTCGTCATAAGCGTATCATCGCTGCTTCCTTCCTTATTGATGCACAAGCCCAGGCGGTAAATCTTTTTCATTTGTTAACTGCCGTCGCCGCCACTGACGACTTATCGGCATTTAGCATCGGTTGATCGATCTTTCTTCTCCTCGTTGTACTCTATTTGTTTTTTTTTCTTACTTCGCCAACGGGCAACGTCGTACTGAGCTATCTCGACATAAGTTCCGCGCTCTTACCTTTGCGATTAGCGATTTCCATGCGCTTCTGATCGCCGTCGCCAATTATCGGATCACCTTTAACATTAATTTATATAAATTATTCTTCAAATATGCTGTTAATTTGCGGATTATTCTTATGGCTTTATAACCTATATCGGAGCGACAATAGAGGGGGCGGAGGCGAATGACCAGACACGAAAATCGGCGCCCGACCGTTTTTCTTTCTTTCTTGCCAGGGAAGCGATACGCCTCATAAACATGAGACATTGTGAGACGAGTACAAGAGATAGAGAAAAAGAAGCTAGACGATAATAGTACGATTATGGTTGGTAGGTGCACGTGGCAGGTCACTCGCAAAAATTCGCCGTTGGTGATAGCGTTAAGGAAGGTTATTCAATTCGCTTTTATCGCGTCGATATCTGTTTTCGCCGCTTAACTCGGTTCAATCATCAATATTTACACATATCGGGCGCGCGGTTACGAGTCGCTCGTTCGTCCCCTTGCTCGCACACTCCTCACTCTCTCTTTCTCTCTCGTATTCTTAATATGTCTTTTTTGTATACGTTAGTGCGCGACTCTTGCGTTTCAAAAAATGGACGGTTAAATCGGCCGCGGTGCTCGCGGAGGTGGTGGTGGTGGTGGCGGTGGTAGTAGTGGAGATGGTAGTAGCATGGTGGTAGTGGCGGTAGCGGTGGCGGCAGCGGCAGCGGCAGCGGTGGCGGTGACGGGGACGGGGACGGGGACGGGGACGGAGACGGAGACGGAGACGGAGACGGTAAGAGTGACGGTGACGGTGACAGCGGTGGTAACGGTGACGGTGGAGGAGGTGGCGGCGGTGGTGGTGGTGATGTTGGAGGCAGGACGGTAGCGGGGAGTTCAAGATGGATGCGGTAGGCGAGGGGGTCGGGAAGCGAGCCAGCGAAAGAGAGAGAGAGAGAATCCCTTCGCCGGCGACTCGGCGACCCTCGGGTCCACTCGCCGGCTGGTTTCCAGTCATCGGTTCTCTCACTCACACTCACGGACACTCTCTCGCTCTCTTTCAGTCCCACTCGCGGTTCATCCTGGTCCGTTTACTGGTCGCGCTCCCCGCAGCCCGCGAGAGTGGTGGCGGGGCGGTAGCGGCGACGGTGGTGGTGGTGGTGGTGGTGGTGGTGGTGGTGGTGGT